CATGTCAAAAGGGGTCAGTTGAGGTGGTTCGGGCATCTGATCAGGATCGTCTGGCCTGGGAATGCCTCTGGATCCTCCACATGGAACTGGAAAGCGTCAATGGGGAGAGGGGTGTCTGGAAGGATGGATGGATGGATGGATGGATGGATCATAGAGATATGGCCTTTAACTGAAGAAGATGCGGCAGAGAACAGCACCCAGTAGTGTACTGTACCATGTGGCAGAACAAGAGAGTACCAGTACATCCAGTCACATCTATCTTCTTTACAGCTGTATGCACTGCACTGTTAATGATGTACCATCTCTTTCTTTTCTTTTATTTCTCCTCATTGAACTCTAAACTCAAAATAAGTTTTTTAAAGGGTTGCTGTAGACAACAGTGTCCAGTGCACAATATGTAATTTCTGCTACTGGGGGTCTCTGAATCAAAACAATTACAAAATTTTGATGACATTGTGAATTAGGGGTGTATCTTATCTTGTTCTCTTGTTAAGCAACCACCATTTCTTAAGAAAATCTATCTGATGTGACCCAGGCAGAAAAAGATGAGGAAATGTATTAGGCTAATTCACGTTATGTTTAGTCACATTTATTCATATTATCTATATTTATTCTCATGAAATAATTACAAGTAATGTTAACTCATGTAACATTAAATTGCTAACTTACCATTAGATGAGTCTACCCATGCAGCTCTTATGTGGCGAATTCAATCAGAAGGTAGCTCAGCTCTGTTATACGTGGTCAAAACAATCACACTAAAAGTAACATTATAAGGGTGTTGAACGTTGTTCAGTAGGGCTGCAACTAATAATTATTTTCATTGTCAACTAATCTGTCAATTATTTCTTTGATTAGTCGACTAATCATTTTATTGAAAAATGTGTTAAAATGTTGAAAAATGTTGGTCTGTCTCTCCCAAACCCCCAAATTATGTCATATAATGTCTTGTTTCGCACTCACGCTAAAGGGTTTTAGTTCAGCATCATGGGAGAGTGTGTAAAGCTGCCAATATCTGAACTTAAGAAGCTGCAATAATGGTATTTTGGTGTACTTTTATAGTACAACAAGTAACTGACTCAAACAGATTAGTCGACTACTAAAATAGTCACTGATTATTTTAATAGTCGATTAGTAATCGATTAGTCGACTAATTGTTGCAGCCCTATTGTTCAGTGTTTCCCACAAAAGTAGATTCTATTATGGTGGTAACATTAGTTGACTGGGGGTGACACTGGCATTCATTTAGCTTTAGTAAGGCCTAGTTATCTTCTATAGCAACATGAATTAAGCCAGCACAAACCCCAATGCTGAGGGATCCCTCCCTTGAAAACCCCTACTCCCTGCTGGATCAGCAAACTTTCTCTTGCTGTTGTTACACAGGTTAGACCCAGATCTGCTGCTGGCCACCAGCCCGCTGTGACTGGCTAAAGTGGAGTTGCTACAAAAGGTAACTAAAGCTAACTGAAGGTCCATGTCTAGAACTGCGGCTTGCTTGCCTCTCTGCCAAATAGTCTCCCAGAGAGGGGGAGTGAGGCAGAGGGACTGAGGGTTGCGCTAGCTTGCCAATTCTTGACTCATTTATGGTCTGATGATAACAGAGAGACAGCAAGAGTTGGATGTTCTGTGCACACAGCTCTAGGATGAAGATTAGATTTTACCAATTTTAAACAGTAAAAAAAGGAAAATCAAAATGTTGCAGCCAATGCTGATAATGTGGCAGGCCACCACAAAGAAATGTATGGGTGAGAAATACTGTATTTTATAAAATAACATAACATTACTATTTCTATAACATTACCCTACACATTAGCGTGGTGGCTGGCATGTGGCACTTGTCGTTGTAGCACAGGATAGTAGGGTTGGAGCGATATACCACTTTCAAGGTATGCCGTGACATGAAAATTGATGGTTATCATATGTACATTTGCTTATCTATAGTAAAAAATGCAACTGGATGGAGAATCTCCCCTTTATTTGAGTTATTTTCAAAAGAGAGTTTTTGCACACACTTTAATTAACAAACTGGTTTCAAGTTTCAATTATAGTAATAAAACATTTGTTCAACCAAAAATAATCCTTTTGTTTTCATTTCTTTAAGGGTCATTCTGACTCATAATAATGACTGTAATACTGTGATATTGTGATGACCATAGTATTTTCTAAGATGGTTATTGTACTGAGAAAATCTCATACCGTTGCAACCCTATATTGTAGTAAAATGGATTTATATTAAAATAATAATAGATTAGGTATCTACTGGATTACAGTGTTGCAAAGTATCATACAGTTAATGATAAAATGATGTGTGGTACCCTCTGCCTGTCCACTTTAGTAACTAGCTACTAATAACAGTGAAAAAATAAAGCGGTAGATTGATTACTCAGGAAGGTTAGGGTAAGGAGGTGATGGGGTGGTGGCCTGGCAACAATAAAAAGACACAGCAAGCATTTTTTGTTTGTTTGTTTTTTGTTTTTTTCACTAGTGGCATTCAATTTTTAAGAAAGCCAGTGCAGTGCACCTCACATTTTGGAAACCTGAAAAACTCTTTCTGCATGATTGAAGCCTTACTGTTACTGAGTAAAATTCTGTGGCAGTGTAGGTTTCACAATGACATCTGGAGTTTTCTGTGTTTCCCAGGAAGTTACAGCAAGTAGAAGGTGTAAAGGTTATATGACGCCTTTAAGGGGCCTGCAAATTAAATATACCATTACCTTGAATAAAATGACAGATTTCTCTGGGTTTGAACATTGTTAGAAACATTAAAGATAATTTAGGTATAGTCATTTTTTAGAAAGTTTAATGCAGAAATGTTATATATACCTTTTAAAGACCTGAGTGATACTATACCTAAAATACCTAACTTTTGATACCCTCACACTCTGGGTATAAAAACTTTGTGGGGTCAGCTGAGGTCATATGTAGAGGACAAAAATCAACACTTTATTAGATATTTAGAACAACTTTATTGCAGGACCAATGCATTTTGCACCTTGTTGTTTTATATTGTCCTTGTCTTCTGTTTATCTCTTCGCACTTTCATGTATGTACTTCTTTTCTGTGGTTTTAAATGTAAAGCGTCTTTGAGAGCTGTAAAAGCGCTGTATAAATAAAATGTATTATTATTATTATTATTATTAATAATAATAATAATAATAATAATAATAATAATAATAATAATAATATTTTGACTTGTGGCTTTAAGTACAACAAGTATTTTGGAGTTCTAAATACTACAAGTGTTGCTGGAGTCACGCCTTTGGTAGGCTATACCTCTCTTATCCATGCATTTGGTAGTAGGGGAAGTTGTGCCAGAAACACAGTGACAAAAATCCTTCCACAAAATCTGACATCTTATCTCATTTGCTCCCAAGACTGATGCAGCCTGGCACCCTAATTAGTTACTGCTGTTTTGGCCATGAGCTTTGATTCTTGAAGTGTTTTATTGTTCGTTTATAGCAATGTATGTTTCCAAATGTTTGTTCTTTGTAACTGTTTTCTCAACACTCATACTCTGTAGGCTACTGTGTTAACAGGATATACAAGCAAGAGAGAGCTGGGAGCTTTAACCCAACATCTTTACACTCAGTCCATATGAATCCATTTCAGTTTTTTTCTCTTTACCCTAAATGGGAAAAAACAGTCACTTTGTGGAGTAGCATTGAGGTTGTATAACAATGCTATCTGAGTGACTGAGGGTCACAGACTGTAACTGATTCCACGTCCAGCCAATGATTCTTAATCATGTGATGTGACGTGATTTTCTCAGACTTTACTGAGACAGCTGGACTGTAGCATCATCAGTATGGTAAGAAATGAGCCGGTGAAGTAACCTATTCATGTTTGAAGAGCAGAATCATTCTATGATGGAGATGGAGAGATGTGTACCTATATCACATAGGCCTATTACATTCAGTGGTCATGACTCTGTGGTAAAGGTATCAAATTAGGCTAATAATAGAAATGTTCAAGTGATTCTGTAGGGTGAAACACGTCACTGATTTTGACACTTTACTACTGTGGATGAGTTTCTCTGCAGCAGAGGGATTTCCACACCATAATGATGCCCAGGGCACGTATTACTCACGCATTCTGCATGTGAAGATCCTCACGTACGCCTGGTGCTGTGTAACTAGGGTTCTAAGCCCTCAGCTGTGTCCTACAGGCAAAAAGCACTTCCATTGTAACTAAGAATGCAGATGAAATAAACGAAACGAAACAAACAAGCATATCTGAAACCAACAACCAGCAGTCTGTTCATCGCAAAGCCTTTCATATCCTCTTGTGAAAGAAATAGTCTTTCCGGTACCATTACGTGTCTGAGCAGTTAGGCCTCCAGGCAGCTGCCCAGACCAGAAGAGAGTTTGCAGATGTCTTACGCACACAAAAACTTAAGAAACTCTCATCAAAAACATAAGATGACAAGATCTTTAAAAATACTGTGGCAGCTATTAATATGCTGAGTATAAAAATGACAGTTTTCCTGGGCACAAATGAGTTGAAATGAGAGTGACCTTGTTGGATCAAAGTAAAATCAGCCCTCTGCTCCTCTCTAAGTGCTTTTTAATAGCTGTTTTCAGCAACTTATCATTTTGTCAGTTATTTATGAACTTGAATTTAAACTCTGTTTAATGTCCCTTCATAAAATGTAGATTTCTCTAATAGTGAATACTGACACAAACCTATGATATATTTACCAAGCTGAGCTTTGTCTTTAATAATAGTGTCTGATTTGTTTTCCCGCATTGTTTAAATGGGATGATCTGAAATGTAGAGTCGGGCTGCCCATTTTGCTCAGTGTCGTTTTCCGGGTTGTTTTTTGATCAACTTATGAACCAATTGCCTGAAAAACAATACTGAGGGTTTACAAACGCCCATTATTTCAGCATCACTCGTTCAGCCCGTCAGAACCCGACGACACATGTACAACATCCTCCTACTGGATGAAGCTTTGCGTCAGTCTTGATGAAAGCTGAGCTCTGATTGGGCAGTGTTCGCTGAAGGTCCCGCCCCGGTGAGCTACTCTACTGTTGGTGCTGTCTCTTCTCTTTCTCCATCTCTGGCCTTTTACGACAGCAGCTTCCTGCATCTCTCCGCTGCCTCCTGACCTTACTGCACGTACACGCAACCTGGTGAGTTTTCTTTTAAACCTTTCAATTTTAAAACTCTTACCAAGAAGCTAACAGTTTTGGTCATATTCTCTTCATGTAGAGTTCATTAGTCTACTTTAACGTACCTTTTATTGGTGCTTTTTTTTTCAAGCATTTCTTGTTGTTCCTATTCCTATCACAAACCTTTTTTTCTAAAGCCACAAAATATTACTTTGCCTCAGTAAAGTAGCTTAATAAAAAAGAAGTGTTGTTTTCTGAAGTTTTCTGGAGCTCCATTTGTATTTGGGAACTTCCTGTACTGTTCAGAGTCCTTCAGATGGTTTGGCAAGGACGCGGAAGTGCCGTCAGGAGAGACTGCTACATTGTATTACTACTGTTAATGTGACTGTAATGGAGTACAGGAGGGAAAATATCGTCGGCAAAATTAATAATTCCTAAAAGCACAGCAGCAGCTAGTAAGCGACAGGAGTCGTCTCCAGCAAAGTCTCACACTTTCTGAAAGAATGTGACAGTGATTAATCAGAGGGCGGACCGTGTCATAATGTTCGCAGTGTAATATTGTTCATTCACTTACTGTCAAAGTGGTGTCTCGAGGCCGTCAGGCAGTAGGGGAAAAAAATGGTCCTCCTTAGAAGTCCTCCGTTCACAATCCTACTGAAGTCAAAGGGGAACTACGCCCATTTTCAAAATTCATACATGTTATTCCTATGATTTAAGACAGTTCCAAAACATTAGTGAACATGAACAACTCCTAAATGCGAAAACTAGAGTGTTAAAACTCTAAACTGTGTCATAGGGTATAAAGTGTGGAACTGCTTCATAGTAGGGATTGGCATTTTAAGTACTTTCCAGTACTTGTTGTTGTCCTTAACATTACATAGGTAAAACCAGGGGTAGGCAGTCTGCAGCTCTGCAGCCACATGAGTCCTTAAAGCCCTTCTCCAGTGACCCTCTGTGGCCTTAACCAAAAAAACTATATGGAAATGACTGTTGTGTTTTTTTAACATTTTAATTTTCATTTATCAGTGTTGTAGGCCTAAAGAAATTCTTACATTCTCTAACTGTAAAAATGTGAAGCCTATATACCAAATAATGTTTTAACATGTCAACAACTAAAATGCACATAATACATCTACTGCCTGGAACCTGAAAATTTTGCCGGGGGTAAGGATTTACAAAGAATGTGTTCAGATGTTGCTTTTCTGTTGTGATAAGAGAGAATAAGGAGGGTGAAATACAAAATACTCATGAATAAACAGGTAAGTAAACTAAAAAACACAGCAACACTATAATCAGGTGAGGAGATTAAAAAATATACTGTATAAATGAATAAATAGAGCAGTTCAGCTATTTTTCTCACTTGCTTGATTCCTCATGGAGTGAAGAATGCTTTTAGTAAATAGCTATCAGACCTTGCAGAGAACACGGTTTTAAAAGAAAGAAAGAAAAAGTACTGGCTGTCTCGTAACATTTCCTTATCAGAAGTTGAGAATAGAGTGTAGACATATTGTGGTTTGATTTGTTAAGACTGCACAATATCCTTCTGTTTCCGATATATGAAGTTATTAAGAAAAAAGTAAATATTTGTCTCTTTCTTTCTCTTCTTATCTCCATCCCAGCCAACATGACTCATGCGTATCCATTTCTGGGAGCTGAGCAGAAGAAGGAGCTCAGTGATATCGCTCAGAGGATTGTGGCTCCTGGAAAAGGCATCCTGGCAGCTGATGAATCCACAGGTACAACTGCAAAGGAGAGCAGAGTCACACTCATTCTGTTGACAACAATGACCAACAGTCCAGTCCAGTAACGCAGTAATCACAATAAAAACTGTTAGAATATCTATCTGCTGGGTTGATACTTTCAATTGAAGACATTTGGGTTTTTGTAAAATTACTGTAACTGCTCACATTAGTAGAATCTGCTGAAAATATAAAAGCACATACAGTGTACCCCGTTAACCAAGAAGCAACCTCCAGGGCTGAAGAATCAAAGTGCCAAAAACTGCAGTTCCTCTAATGGCCACTTTGAGGCAGGCTCCAAGAGCGAGTCAGTTCGTATGGACCCCCATGTTAACATGCCCAAGTTTACAGCGGAAACAAGCATGCTTACAGCCTGGTACAAAAAACTGTTTTGGTCTCTATAGCAAATTTCCCTGTTCATGACCACTGATGACCACTGAGAGCATCAACTAATAGCCCTAAATGACGACTAAAATAGGAAAACTCTTCGTTGGGGGCAGCCCTAAACATTACCATGGCATAACCCCTGATTCACAAAGTACAGGCATAGCCATAGCTGTCACTATTTCAGTTTGTCTTTTAGTTCATGAAAGTTAATTGCAGTGGTTTTGTCATCTAAAGAAGTCTCATTCAGTGTTTGACTGTACCTAAAGACCTGTTTTTTTCCAGTAAGTACATTTTGTTTTAACGGTTTTAAGCCTGTTGTTAGCAATAATTAGCATTAGCATGCTCACAGTTAACTATAGCAGTAAATACTCTGTGGTAACTAAGCCAGCAGCTAGGCTCAGGGTTATTACAACCCTCTTGTCCATTTAAGGTCACTTCTGGTTCCCAAAAAAACAAGATGGTGATAGCCAGAATGCCAAAACGGGAGTACACTAACCACTGGATGATGTCATGATCGCTACAAACCTTTTTTTATGCAGTCTATGCCACTAACATATATCTTTGTAATATAGTATACCATACCTGAGTGATACATCAGCATGGCTGATACTATTGAGTTGAGCTCCTCTCAGGTGTATCACGTTCGATGTAGAAATTAATTTTGGCATTAATAAACAGAAATGCCCAAAATATGTTTGAGGTTATTTTAAAGACGTTTGTCTATCAGAGAGCACTCACAAGTTGGGTGAAGTTGTGCCAGACACCCTCACCCTTTGTCTCTAACTGTACCCACCTTTTCCCTGTTTCCTGGCACCTCCAGGCAGCATGGCCAAGCGCTTCCAGAGCATCAACGCTGAGAACACGGAAGAGAACAGGAGGCTTTACCGCCAGCTCCTCTTCACCGCCGATGACCAGGTCAACCCCTGCATCGGTGGCGTCATCTTCTTCCACGAGACGCTCTACCAAAAGACGGACGATGGCAAGCTCTTCCCCCAGCTGGTCAAAGAGAAGGGCAGTGTGGTGGGCATCAAGGTGGACAAGGGTGTGGTTCCCCTCGCAGGCACCAATGGAGAGACCACCACTCAAGGTACAGAAGTGCTCTTTACTACAGTGAGGGCAGTAAGATGTATAG